CTAGTGTGGGAAGCTCCAACAGAAGCTGTTCTTGCCTTTCCAGTCTTTTCCCTGCAGCTGTAGGAGTAAAGATATTGTGTGAGGAGGACAGGGATAGTCATGGCTCCAGGGACCAAAATTTGAACACCAAAGACTGGGTGATTTGGAGAAGCTGACACCTTTGCAGACCTTGAGCCTCACCACTCTGTTTTAATTGACTGCAGACATCAAGCTGTGGTGCTGTCCAGCTCTCCCAATGGCCCAGTGACACCACAAGGCCTCATGTCTGGTTAGAAAAAGACCTACTGCCTTTCCTCTGTAGTCCAGAACAGCATTGAGTGGGGCTGCCAGGTACTGGGTGGGTATAAAGCCTCTGTGGGCTGCAGGAGCATTGGCTTAGGCTGAGGGCAGTTCTCCAGTATGTGGTGCAGTCACTCCATTGAGATTCTCTAAGGCCATGTCTGAAGACTCTAAAATGTCTCAGGGAAGAAAAGAGTTTGTTTCCAAGGGTACTTCCATCACTGCCAGCTCCATCCCAGTTTCCCAGCTTCTGCTGTCAGAAAACAGGTTGCAGAGATTTTTGTTTTGCAGTTCCTTGCTGCTTGGGTGAGACCCTTGGGGGGATGTCCTGGGATGATGAAGGCACCAACCAAGTGCAGCCAGTGAAGCTGGAGGCATGCAACTAGTGCATCTCTCAGATATGGGTTGTGGGTGGTTAATCCAAGCCTGAGACTGTGTCTTGGAGAATCCCTCCTGGCCACTGAAGCAGGTGAGATACTAGTTTTGTTATCTCCCCAAAATAGCCCCCACACCCAGCCTGTGTGTCTGGGCAAGGTACAGCTCTCCTGGCTGCCCTGGGAGTCCTGTGAGGGCTGGAACAAGTGCTGCCACTTCCAATCTCTGTTGCAATGTATTTTTACCCAAGCATTGCTCATATTGTTCAGTTTATGACTTTTTTTGTGTTGTTGTTGTAATTTTTAAGCCAAACAACATATTTTCCCACTGCAATTTGTGCCAGCAGAGAGGAAGGAAGGAAGAAAGAAAAGCTATTGGTATGAATTGTTTTGTGGGAGATGTGCAAACGAAGAGGGGAGCCAGAAGGAAAGCAAATTGCTTTCAAAATAGCATGTGGGGGTGGACAGGAGGGTGGTGTATGAGGGGAACATGCAATGTGCTTTACAAAAGGTATGATGACCTTCAACTGTGTCCTGAAATTGCTGCCAAAGATGGAAGCTGAGTTTGTGGAGGCTGAAGAGCCTTGTGCTTCCTCTGCTTCAGCTCGAAAGCCCTCAAGATAGGATAGGGAGAGGTGGAGATCATAGCATTGTGCCCAGCCTTGGGGTGGATCTCACCACCTCTGCCAGGCTGGAGAAACTCTCAATGTGGTGACAAGGGTGTGAGCTCAATAGTCCTGATGGGTTTATCTCCTGGAAACCGGGGATGAGAAGGAAGGTGGTTTGGCAAGCTTTGCTCAAGGAAAGGATGTGTTTGTCACCATCAGGAGGAGGTGCTGGGGGGCAGCACCTACGGGCAGTGCAGCAGTGCCATCTTGGCTTGTGTGTGCCACCTGCATACCAGGAGGGTCCTATGAGGTAGACCTGGGGTGTCAGTGCCCTGCAGCAGTGTTTGTTCCTGTCCTTGTCTGAACTGTTAAAACCTCAGTGGGAGTGGGAGTGCCAAGTGTGTGTGGCACAGAGGGGGTGTGTGTGTGTGTGACCTCATGTTTTCTGTGCTGTTGTGTGATGCCCATAGGGCTGGATGGTGGATCCCTACCCCTGGCTGTCCAAGCTCAGGTGGGTGGCTATGGAAATCCTCATGTGGCAAAGCCCAGGTAACAGTTTGCAGTGGACTGTGTCTCTTCTATGGATGTGATGACACCCCCATGGTCAACAGGGTCCCAGCAGCCTTGGTGAGTGCTGTGCCTCATGACCTCATGGTGCATTGGTTTCTTCTCCCTCTCTTTTCTTGTGGTTGGCAGTGTGTGAGGGGTCCTTCCTTCATCCTTGACCCCTGGTGTTCATTCAGTTGAAGCTCAGCTACCTCTAATTTGTCGGCAAGTTTTTTCTCCATGCTGGCCATGTCTAACTCTGCTCACTCAGATCATGTTGAAAAGGATTTTTTTTTCTTTTTCCTTTTTTTCTTTTTTCCTTTTTCCTTTTCCTATTGCTCAGATCCCCTGAGATCACAGGCGTGGGGAGGCACTGATGTGCTGGTGCACATGAGCTGTTCAGAGTGGTGCAATGCACCAGCTTTTTGACCCCATTCCTGGATATTTGTAAAATCATCCCAAGTAGCTGGTGGCTCCAGGGACCCTTTCCCTGCTAAGGTACTGCTCCCCCCTTGCTGTTGGCATTCAATCCATGGCCGAGTACATGGGCAGATGCCTCTGGATGGACGTGCTGAGAGCAGTGGCCAGGTGGGGTCCAACCACGTGGTGTTGGTTGTTCCCATCAGCTGAGCAGGGAGCATGAGAGCTGTGACCTCACCACCCATGCTTAGCTGCAGGCATGGTCCTCTCCTCCCCCTGGGCTTCCCTTCTGGCCTCTTTTCAGTCCATAACCCTCAGCCATGTGGTTCCTGAGCTCCCTGCTCTGCTCACACATGTCGTACAAGGATCAGATAACTTGTCATCTGTTGCTGGGGAGGCATTGCTACGTTTGCTCCCAGGCAAAAGAGCTGCAGGGGTGCTGAGCCACACCAGTGCTGCCACAGCATCCTTCCCAGCCCCTCAGTGGAGACTGGAGCAGGGGGTCAGATACGTGCTGCCAGGTGTGGGACTGGGCACTCTTTGGATATTTTTCCCCACTCCTGGTAAATATTTTTTTTCCCCTGCAGTGCTGTTTGCTGAGGCACCCAACAGTGTAGGATCTGCTCGTGTCTGCTGGAAATGTCAGGGGCTTTGGGGAGCTGCCTTTGATCTGTGATGGCTGGGGGAGCCTGGCATTGAGTAACTGTGAGACATAACATAGCTGGTCCCTTAGGCCACCCTCTTTCTGGAGCTGTCCCCAAATGGTTCCCACCCTCAGTGCTTATGTAGGCAGTGGGTTTGATCCTCCTTTCTCCATTGCCTGGTGCAGCAGTGCTGGGTGGATGGATCCTCTCCCAAGTCCTCCTGATGTGCTTGTGCCCATGGTCTGCTCTTCTCTGGTGCTTCTCTCCCAGTGGCTCTGGCAGATTTTGGTACCTTCTCTGCAGCCTGCTAGGGCAGAATAACACCTTGGGGTGGTTTAAAAACCTTATCCCTGGGGAGGGTGGGGACATAACCTTTGGGATTCAGGGAGAAGAAAGGAGGAGCTGGTCTGTGGGCTGGTGTGGCACTGCCTGTGGCACATGGTGGTCAGGGCTCTCCCTTACTGTGTGTGGGTGGTGGGTGGAGCAGTCTGCTGCAGGCTCCACATTTCAGTCAAATCCTTGTCTGGGATTGCAAATGCCTTGTCCTGCATGGCCAGCTTCTCATCTCATGCTGAAACAGCCCCTGTACTGTGCTCTGAAGGCATTACAGCCTGTGGTCTGGAGCAGTTGGGCACTGCGAGGAGCTCTGTGCAGATCTGGTGTGTCTCTGGGCCTGGGAGATACAGTGGGGTAGCCCATAACTCCAAGCAGTCTGGGAAGCTCCAAGGTATTTTCTTATGCCTCACCCGTGTGTGATGCAGGGTGGCCATGGGGCTGGGGATCCCGGCCACTCCATGTGCATGAACTGTGGGCTGGGGGAGCTTCAGGAACTCGTCAGAGGGGCTTTGTGACTCTGGCAATGGAGATAGGACAGAGGTTAAGTTCTGCTAATGAGTTTATTCAAGAAGCTGACAGAGCCTAAACCATGTGTTAAATCTGGGAGACCTCTGTGGCTGGCAGGAGGACATAACTTTTGATCCTGAATTTTATCTTTGCTTTTTGTGGGTGGTTCCATGATTTCCCATAACCTTCAGTTGTCTGGGTGGGTGCTGAGTTTCACAGGACAATTCTGGGTTGTTTGGTTGTTTGTTTGTTTTTTTCATTACTGGATAGAGGGGATATGAGAGCAAGGAGAGGAGCTGCTTAAATACCAGCAAGGGGTGATGTGCTTGAGTGCTGCTGGACAGCAAGGGAGTGCAGCCCCTGGAAGACCCCAGGGATTCCTG